TCAAAGTGTCGCACATAATCTTCGGCTGTTCTATAATATATATATTTTTCAAATATTTATTTAATATGCAATAAAAAATGTAAATAATATATGTATTTTTAAAATACAAACCTATTCTTTGTTGATCGTTCAGAATGATCATGTCTTCTAATCTCAATAATATCATCCATTGTTATACCACACTTTTTTAACTCTATCCATGAAGAAGAATTCATTATATCTTTATCTTTATCTTTTTCTTTTCCTTTATCTTTGTCTTTTTCCTTTTCTTTTCTATCCTTGATTTCAGGTCTTTCCTGTGAATCACTTCTCTTTTCTTTAATATTTTCTTTCTTTTCTTTCATTCCTTTCTTTTCTCGTATATCTTCCCATTTATCTTTATCATTATCCTTTTTATCTTTGTCTTCAAATTTTTTATCTTTATTTTCTTCATACTTATTATCCTCCCGTTTATCTTTATCATCTTTTTTATCTTTATCTTTTCTACGTTGTTCTTTATCATAAGAAATTTTATAATATCGTTCTTTATTATTGTAATCTTTGGATTCTCTACTCGCACTATCTCTTCGTTCTTCTCTTCCATATCGTCTTCTTAAAATAGTTTTTGTATATTATTTATACATATAAAAATGTAAGAATTTGTCATACATATAAAAACGATAAATTTTATTATACCTTTCTGAATATTTATTTTCTATTGCAGATTTTAAACTACTTTTATGAGAAACATCTTGTTTACTTTTTTCTCTCATTATCTTTACATTTTCTAATAAATTTTGTCCATTTCTATTTGCATAATTTTCTTCTTCTAAACTAGCTGTAAAATAATTTAGCTATTGCTAAAAATCAATTTTAACTTAAATTATGTCATATTAAATACCTGCAGCCATAGCTTCAGCCAATAACATTTTACTTTTGGATTCTTCTCGTCTAATTTCTTCAATAGCCAGAATCTTTTCTTCTACAGTACAGTGGAAATTTTATACATTAATAAAATAAATTAATATAAAAAAACCTGCAAATTAAATTCATATTCCATATTACCTGTTTTTTTTTTTGATTTATTACCACTTGAATGACGATTATGAAACTGCATAGAATCCGAGTCAATATTTAACAGTGTGTTTGAATCATTTTGCAAAGATTTTCCATTATTACCCAACATATTTTTAGATTTAGAAACTTTAGTAGTATGTGCTTGAAGCAAACTGGATTTATTTTGAATTTTTGGTGGCACATTAAATTTGTTGGCAAATGCCATTAATCTCTTTTTAGCCTGTAGTTTTCCTAATACTGGCTTAAGCATCTTAGGACTTTCCAATCTAGGTGTATCTCCATCACTGACTTGACCTTTTGTACTTTCTGGTGTTTCTGGCATTTGTATATCAAGCAAAGATATTGGAATGTCTGGTGTTGGTTCTTCTGGAGCATAAGCATCCTCTGATTGCGACATTATGTTAATACTTTTTTTTTCTGTTTCTTCTACATATAAAATCATATCAAAATAAGAAAATATAATAAAATTAATTTATGATAAAAATAAACAAATAGGTATGAAAATTTACCTTGAGAAAGATCAATTAAATCTGTCTTTGTCATTGACAATGCCTTAGTTTATCATGCATATGATTATTCTTTAAAATAGTACTACGAGCATCAACAAAAGTTTTACTTTTCATGCTTAATATGCATATATATCAGATTCTATAAAATAAAACATGTGTAATTTACATCTAAAAGAATTATCAATTCTTTTGTAAAAAGAATTATAATTCTCACATTCACAAGGGAATTAGATATTGAAAAAAAAATATGATTAATATTTTTTCTATTTTTCAATTAAAGAATACTTTTATCTAATATCACTTGTATAAAATATAATAAAAATACTTAAATATAAACATTTATACATATGTACATAGCTGAAAACTTTATTAAGAAGTAGCACAAGCACAATTGCACAATGTTTATTATTATCGATAATAATTTTAATTGATAATTTTAAAAATAAGAACAAAAAATCAGTTATTAACTTATTTGAGATAGATAGGTAAAACATTAAAACATCGATAAATTTAATTTAGTGGAATGTTTTTATCGAAGAAAATTTAAGCTAAGAAATAGAAATTCAATCTGATTTTTTAATATAGATAATTTACAGGTTATGATGAATGCAGCTATTTTCAATAAAATTTTAAAAATTTATTATTATTTAGTGAAACATATAAAAATTCCAAAAAATGTTAAATAAAAACCAAATATCATTAGATATAATATTGTTAGTTACAAAAACTTACTTCATACTGAATGCTAAGTAACAGACGGATACATGTTGCCCACGATAAAAATGACAGAATATTATCAACTTCGCACACCGAATTTTTCGGTTCCACAAATATTTTTAATTCCACTATTCTGTTCCTGTGTTCATCTAAGTCAAACAGAGCTACTATAAGAAAAGCGTCCGACATTTTAGTCAAACGGCAGGCCGGCAACTATAAATGTTCGTTCATTAATTCAGCAAGAACAAGGATGCCAATATTTGAGAAATAAACGAAGAACACTACTAAACATGTATATTTCATTTCGGTTTGATAATTATTAATTCGGAATCGAAAAAAGTATTTTAAAAATATTTCGATTCCGATTGAATTTACGATTAATTCTATAATATCAAATTTTTGTATGAATTTGCACTTACAAATAAAAACTTTACATTAATTTAACACACACGCACATACAAATATATTTTTATATTCTACTTAATTGTATCTATCATGAAATTATACAAAAGCTTTTATGAATATATTCATAAAAAAGATCATTTGAAATAATAAATTTGATAAGTTTTACTACAAAACATACATTATAATTAACTTATATTTTATACACATGCAATATTATATTAATTTTTTTTACTTTAATTTTATTCTTATAACTTTACGTTAATTTTTACTTAATTATAAATTTACGTTAATTTTTATTTTACTATAATTTTATGTTCATTTTTCATTTAAATAATTTTTAAAATTTTATAATTATCTAACAATATTTTTGCTGTTTTGTTCTTGAAAATTAACATATCAAATTCAAATAAAAATACTAAGATAGAATGTTTCTAATATGAATTTGTATGCATTATAAAATAAATATGTAGATTAATCTTCCATTTCTGATGGATCACCACCCATTGCTTTCCAGAAAGCAGTGACTAATTGTTCAGCTGCTATACGTCTTTGATTAGTTGGTAATAATGCTGCATGTTCTTTCATAGCCCTTAATTGACTAAACAATTCTCCAAAATCTGTATTTTCTTCACCCATAATTCCATCTGAAACAAATAATGTATAATATAAATACACTGAAATAAAAATTTATGATAAATTTTTGTTCAACTTACCTAACATATTTTCTATTGGCAATGTTTCTGTAGAATCTTGATTTAATTCAATTTTCCCAAATTGTTCTTCAACTTTATTCATATCAGGATTTCGCTCTTCCATATCTGATGGTTTTCCTATAAAATTAATATAAATTGTAAATATTTACAATTAATAAATAAGTATTTATATTTATAAAATAACAGCTTTTTAATCTAGCTAATTTAGTTTAAACATTTATGATCCAAATTTTTGTTGAAAACCTTTAAGTGTCATATTTGGCCACATATGAGCATGTAAAGCTTCAATAATTCTCTCAATACCATATTTGTTATTTTCTGAATCAGCTTCTGAAGCATCTATATCAGGTCTATTTAATTCAATTAATTCAAATCTATTTTGTAGACACCATTTTATCACTAAAATATTATAAACACATGTTTAATATTTCATTATTTTATAACATTTATATATCGATTATTATTTTTATATACCTTTGTTTCTAATAACAGTATCTATTATAAAATTACAAGAAAATAATAATACTTCTACTTCTGCTAAAGAAGCAATCAAAGATGACCATTCCTTTAAATTCTGATCTGCATTTTCCTAAAGAAATCAAAACTAAAAATCATTTGCTCTGTCAAAGATTCTATTTAAAATTTAAATATCTTACTGTCTGTGGATTATGATGTACAATCAATGCTTCCACATCATTGATTGAAATATCTTGAGAAGAATTTTCTATAACACATATCAATACCTGTGCTTTGTAATATTTATTTTGAATATTCCATAAATAATAATCAAAGTGATCTTGGTTAGATAATTTTTCTCCTCCTATATCTATAAAATATATAACACATAAAAATAAGAAATCATTACAAAATAATTCTCATGCATACTTTTATTTTAAAAAAGTTAATTTATTAAACTTATCAAATTAATATTAAAATGCGAGAGATATCCAAATTTCAACTTACTTATAGCAATTTCGTTAGCTTTTCCTTTTTCTGTGCTTATTATTAATATTCGTGGTAGATTCATTATAATAATATTTTATAATACTATTAAAATTATAAGAAGATATTTTAAAATTTAAAATATACTATTTATTATTTGATATTTAGGTTATGATTACGATCTTAATATCAATTGACATAAAAATATGATAGTGAATAGATAAAATAAATTACTTTTATGTGATATATAGTGATATTTGTCACTATATTTGAAAATAAATCAATTGAATTATATTAAACATCGATAAAATTGCAATTCATAACATTTCGTGATAGACCATCAGAACTATGTTTGTCATTATTTGATCATTAAAAGAACTAGAATAATTCTATTAATTCTATCTCATGCAATATTTCGATAAATTCTCGTGTAATATTGTTTCAATAAATTCCAAAATATGAAAAACATAGCTATTTAATTTAAAATTAATATCTTATTTAAAAATGATATTTTATAATTTTAAATAGATCAATTACACGCGATAAAATTTTATATTATTATTATCTATAAATTTTCAAATATTCATTTGTAGATAATTTTTAAAAATCAAATATATAGTAATACAATGTATATATAATATAAGAATATATAAATTGATAAGACAAATTTGTATAAACATATATTGATTATTAGATTTATAGCAATACATAAATTTGCAAATACATATATGGTCATAAAATGTGACACATAATAACACAGTTTCTTGCTGATTACTTGTAGAATTCATGTTCAGATTCATCCTTTTTAATATTATTCTTATAACCCTTTTCAAAATCTTTTGCTAAGACTATGTATCGATTCTCACGAACCGCATGCATTCCTGCTTCTTGGCAAATTGCATTAATATCAGCACCAGAAATTCTATCTGGTCGCGCAACATAATCTTCAAGATCTACCTCTTCACTCAAATTCATTTTTGCAGTAATTGTTGAAAAAATTAAACGTTTTTGACGGCGATCAGGCAAAGGAAATTCAATTTTTCTATCTAATCTGCCAGGACGTAATAATGCAGGATCTAATGTATCAGCTCTAAAAATATATATCAATTATTTTATTTAAATTAGTTTTTATATATTCAAAAGTAGAAATAAAAATAAAAATTTTACCTATTCGTTGCCATTATAACTTTAACATTAGTAGTTTGATCAAAACCATCCATTTGATTTAGCAATTCCAAAAGGATACGTTGCACTTCACGATCAGCACCAGTCTGAGCGTCAAATCTTTTTGTAGCTATAGCATCAATTTCATCAACAAAAATTATAGCTGGTGAATTTTCTTTAGCTAAACGGAAGACATCTCTCACCATTCTTGGCCCTTCACCTAAATATTTCTGTACAAATTCTGATCCTACTACACGAATAAATGCAGCTAAAAAAATATTAATTGTACTAAGTTATAAGAAGTTAAGTATACCGTTTAATCAGATATTCTTAAAATATATGATATTAAAAATATTATATATACCAGTAGTATGTCTAGCTACAGCTTTTGCAAGCATGGTTTTACCACATCCAGGGGGACCATACATTAATACGCCCCTTGGTGGATCAATTCCAATTTGCTTATATAACTCAAAATGAGTTAAAGGTAATTCTACTGCTTCTCTAATCTCTTGTTTTTGCATATCCATGCCACCAATATCGCTATATTGAATATCAGGTTTTTCATCTTGAAAATACATAAAAATATGTATTAAAAATAATCTTTTGTTGCATCAAACAATAACTTATTATGAGTTAAATAATAATAATTAAATACCTGCTTGCAACATTGAAATACTTGAATCAGCTTCTGGTGGTAAAACATCTACTAAAGCATTACTATGTTTATGTAGAGCTACACTAGCAGATGGTTTTAACAATTCTCTATCAATTGTAGATAAAATCCGTACATAATAATTTGAGCCTGTAGTAGAACCTACAATACCAGTATTTTGGTCTACAGCTTCTAAGAATTGTCCAATAACTAAAGGTACACTTTGTATGCGTTTTACTTCCTCTTGAGCATGCAAATATTCTTTTTTCAGATTACGTTGCTCATCTTTGATGTATTCTTCTTGAACTTCAAGAAATTCTAACATTCTTTGTAATTTCTATAAAATACAAAATTCTTATTATATATCAATTAAATATATTTATGTAAATTAATAAATATAAAATTAATAAAAAAAATATTTTTTTATTAATTTTTTTACCAATTTTTTTACCAATATCAAATTTTTTTACCTTATACTTGGTATAAAGATCTTCAACATCCAATTCATCACCAGCACCTGTATAATGTCCAATTACAGGTTTGCATTCCATTTCTCCAACATCCTTAATTTTTAAAAAAAAGAATATAAAAAATTTATTAATAAACAATTAAACAAACAAATTAAACTGAATAAAAATTGAGGTTATATAATTTTAAATTTAAATATAATTTTCAATCATTCTTTTTCTTAATTTTAAAACAGAAAATATGAATAAAAATGCATATATTAGATACCTTATCGGGTAGAATAATACCCATATCATCCATTATTTAATATAATCTTAACAATTAATTGCAACTAAACATACGAATTAGTGAATGACTTGAGTTTCTTGAGCAGTTCAGTTCAATGATTATACACATCAAAGGTGGCTACCATTAACTACTTAATCAACTAAAGAAACAAACTCAATAAAAACATTTTTTTGAAATGTATAAAATTATATTAATATAAATATTTAAACTTTTATTAAAAAATCTATATATTCGAATATATCAATTTATTTTTTACAAATATATATATATATACATATATATGTGAATATCTTTTATGTGAATAATTATAGTATTAGAACATGAAAATTTATTCTTAAAATACCAAAATAAATTCCCTATAAATTTATAATTCTAAAATACTGTTAAAAATAATTTAATATAAATACTATTTCGTTGGATAATCTAACTACAATTTATATGGTTTCAGGTTTTATGTTTACGAAGTTTCTCGACCGGGAAACGTTTACAATTCGGATTGTGTGTAAGAAATTTTATTTTTTTATGTAGAACGTTTGTTGTAGTATATTAAAAAATTGTATTATTTTAATTTTAAAAGATATATTAAAAAAATTGTTTAGTGAAACTTGAAATTTATATGTTAAAAATGAATTTGTAGATACTTGGTGACAGAAAAAAATTATACGTAGTTGTTCAAAATTACTTTTATAAATTTATTAATAACAATGGTGATGGAAGAACAACAATCTGATATAGAACTAGATTCAGAAAGAATTCCTGTACCACAAGTGCAAAAATCAATAGAAGATTCGCGTTTAAAAACAGTTAACAAGATTACAAACATTTCCAGAGGAAAACCTAGACTTAGAAAAAAGGCATTGCACGCTGCAATACTCAAACAAATGGAATTTTATTTTAGTGATGCAAATTTAAGTAAAGATAGATTTTTAAGTAACTTACTTAAAGAGGATCCATGTAAGATTTGTAAAATTATCATAAGAAATATTATGTAAGATTTTAAAAATCTATTTTAAAATCTATTTTAAAATATTTCAGATATTGATTTGAATGTTTTTCTAAGCTTTAATAGAATAAAAGAATTAACTACTGATTCAAATAGAATAGCTAAAGCCGTAGAAACATCTAAAATGTTATCTTTATCTGAAGATGGAACAAAAATTCGACGTATAACACCAATAATATCAAGAGAAAATATAGATGAATGTACAGTTTACGTACAAAATTTACCTCCAGATTCAGATCATGAAACTTTAAGTTCAATATTTTCTCAATATGGTCAAGTTGTATATATTTCTATTCCACGATTTAAAAATAATAAAAAGATAAAAGGTTTTGCATTTATAGAATTTGATATACCTCAAAGTGCTAAAAAATGTTTGAAGGTAAGAAAAATATAAATTTATTATAGAATAATAAATTTTATATTACAAGATTAATAATATTTTAGGCATTTGAAAAAAAAGGCTGTCTCTTACCATCTCACACAGCTCCTGATGAACTTTTAAGTATTACTACATTTGATGATACAGAAAAAAAAGTAAAATCAAATCAAACAAAGTTATATGAAAAAAATGAGTGCATTGAAAATGCTATTGATAATGAAAAATTACAAGACATTGAAATGGATAAAAATATTAAAAAACAGGAAAATATGAATATTAATGATGTTTTAGAAAATCATGAAAATAACAATAAAAAAAAAGCAAAAAAAAGAAAACATATGAATACTGAACAATCAATTGAAAAAGAAAAACAAATAAATAATGAATTAATAAAAAATAAAAAGAAAAAGCCTAAATATTCTAATGATGTATACAACAAAGAAATAGAATTAAATGATCAAAAACAAAATAATGTTTTTTTAGAAGATACATTAAATGATGGAAAACAAAATGATGCTTTCTTAGAAGACATATCAAATAGTGAAAAACAAAGTGATGTTTCTTTAGAAGAATTACCAAGAAAATTAAATAAATTTAAAAATGTATCTACAATTGAAAAACAAATATTAAATAATTGTAATGAAAATGAACAAATGATAATTGATGAGAGTACTAATGCAAATATTGAAGAAAATGAAAATGAAAAGAAGAAAAAAAGGAAAAAACGAAAAAAGCGAAATAAAATAGAAGATTTTAGTTATAGCATAGGATTACAAGTGATGGCTAAAAAAAATTGGAAATATCTTAGAAATAAATATTTAGAATTACAGAGAAGTAAAATGAAGCAGCTTAAACAACATTTAAGAAAAACAAGATATCAATGGTCAAATTATGAAAAAAATAAACCTGAAAGAGAAGAAAATGACGAAAAAGACAAAGGGAATAAACCAAATATAACTGCATGTCGTTTCTCGTTCATACCAGGAGTTATAGTCAAAATTGAAATGGATAAACCATGTACAGATTCAAAAAGTTTAAAGGTATATATATTATAAAAATAATACATAACATAATACACAAATGAACATAAAAAATGAAATATAAATATATAATTTTTTTATATATTTTATATTTTTTTACAGATGGAATTAAAAAATAATAATTCTATAAAATATATAGATGTTGAAGATGGTTCTTGTCTTATTTATGTAAGATGTGAAACAGCTGAAGCTGCACAGATATTTACACAAAAATTTGGTGAAGAGAAACATATAACAATATTAGAAGGTAAGATATTTTTTTTTAACAAAAATATAATGTAATAGAAAACTTTTTTTTTTGTTTTGTAGGTGATGAAGAAAAAATATATTGGGATAAAATCTTGCACGATAGAGAAGAAAAATTGAGTAAAAAAGTTAAAGTTAAACAAAGAGGAAGAAATAAATTACTAAAGAAAGCAGAAAAAGAACTTGGGAAGCATATCAAATTTGATGAAGTATAAGTTTAAAAAATATGAAGTATAAGTTTAAAAAGTTTAAAAAATACTTTTTTCTGTTAAATATATTCAATAATGTATATAACATGTATGATTTATTATTATTACATATGAAAATAGAAATGATAAATAATATTTAACAAAGTTTTGATGTAAATAAATCATATATTGTATTCATTGTTTTTTTATTTGTATCTTAAATGTTATCTACATTTTAGTCTTTTTAATAAAATTAAGAAATTCTTATCACTAAATGTGTCTTTCCATAAAAATTTATTGTAGTTTTCAATTTTCTACCATTTTCCTTTTCCACGGTTCCTACCAAATCCTCCTCCTCCTCCACGTCCTTTAAAACCACCACCACCTCCTTTTCCAAAACCACCACGCCCAAAAGATGGTCTACCTCCTCCTCGGCCACCACTATGTCCTCCACTACCTTTTTTCATTCCTCGACCACCTCCACCTCCTCTCTTTTGAACTGATCCAGGAGGTTTAGGTAAAAATCTTTGTAAAGGTAATAACTTTGCTGGATCTATAAACAGCTACAATGAAACATAATAATAATAATCAATAAAATAAATAATTTCAATTTATATGTAAAAAATTATTATAAATTATACCTGTGTGTCTTTTTGAAAACTGGATGCTTTTATATTTTCTGATAGTTTTATAGATACATAATAATCTCTGATATTGCCAAATATTTCATCTATTTTTCCAATTTGTTGTTTGTTTTCTGTATAAATTGGAGCATTAAAAAAAGGTACTTGTTCTATATCTACTTTAGCTACTAAATCGTCTTGAACTGTCCATGTGAAATGACCTAATGGAGTTACATGTTCTGGTGGTCCTTGATCAAATCTATAATATATAAATTAGAATTATAGTTAAATATTACATTTAATAGTTTGTTTAATGAAAATTAATAATTACCCTCTTCCATTTTTATCACTATTGCGTCCTCCTCGAAATCCTCCTCCGCCTCTTCCACTACGAAATCCTCCACCTCTTCCAAATCCACCTCCACGACCTCGGAATGACATTCTTTTATATTGTAATTACTAAAAAAATGACATTGAATTTTTTTTTAATTTAAAGATAAGTATTATAAGATTGTGTAGACATAAACTAAAACCACGTGCTTAATCTATGAAAGTTGAAATTAACGAAATGAAAATATTCCTATATAATATCCCTAGATATTTAAACTCGCTGTTATTCAATACATTAACATAAAATGATGTCGTGTAATCATAACTATTTGAATATATGGCAATATCGTTGTTATCTTAACGAAAGTTCTATCTTACCGTAAAGTTTACACTAAATATAAAAATTTAAATTTCTTTTATTATTTTCGTTTTGATATATAAATAATGTGAAAAATAATAAAAAAACTAGTAGTTAGATTCCAATGACTTTGAAAAAAATCGAAGAAAATTTTTCGTACTAAAATAGTTACGAATACGAATGCAAAAAATAAATTATTATATAATTCACAGGCCAATATTTTGAAAATTTGAAATTGCAATGATGCTATAAAATACACAAATACCAACATTATTTTTTTTTATAAAATCAATATAATTTAAAATAAATTTTATAAAATTCAAATTTGTGAGTTTAGTTTAATATTTTCAATTTATATGAATATATTTCAAACATTTTTTAAAATAAAATAATTTTTATGATAATGTACATCATATTTAAAAAAATGAAAGTCAGTACTAATGATTGAAGTTAAACATAACCTAAAAATTAAAAACAATTGCTGTACACATATATTTTAGTTAAAGAAAATATTTATTAACAAATTAAAGTTGTCATTAGTTTTTTTTATAATTACAGCTTATTGAAAATACTATTAGTTTATTTTTATCATATAATTTTTCTGTCTTTTATAATTTTATTTCAATATATATTACATTAATTTAAAAATTAATAAATAATTAATATCAAATATATTTTATTTTCATCGATTCTTCTGATTATGTATTATTTATCTAAATAATCACTATTAATATCGAAAACTTATTGTTAAATAACCTCATTTTTTGTATATTGTTACTAGCATAAAAAGTTAATCATATATTACCAATTTTTACTTTTACTGTTATTTAGATAAAAAATACATTATTTTCAATTATCTAAAATTATATTATTATCTATTTATATATATATATGTATGATTACAACTATTATACAATAATAGGAAATGATAACATATAAAGTAACTAGACCACGTGAAATGGGTATATAATTTAGCGGCCGAC